TCAATCAATCAATCAATCAATCAATCAATCAATCAATCAATCAATCAATCAATCAATCAATCAATCAATCAATCAATCAATCAATCAATCAATCAATCAATCAATCAATCAATCAATCAATCAATCAATCAATCAATCAATCAATCAATCAATCAATCAATCAATCAATCAATCAATCAATCAATCAATCAATCAATCAATCAATCAATCAATCAATCAATCAATCATGTGGAAATAATATTTTACTGAATTTAAATGATGCTTATGATAGGAACATTGTAATATTTTTACTTATTTTATGTATCTTATTTTAATATTTTATGGCATTATGCTCATGACAATTAAAGAATTTTCTCCTTTAAATTCCAATTAGAGTAATATTGCAGTAATGTTTGTTTTAATCATTAAGGCAAAGCAAATTCTAACAATCGACTGCTACCAAAAATAACATTTACTACAGTATTTTTGGATACTACAACAATAAAACATTTAAATAAAAAACACAACTTTTCACATTACAGTAATGAGATTTTTTTGTATTACAGTAACAGCAACTGTGCTTAAATGCAAATAAAAAAAATCACATTCAAAGCAAAATAGCACTATCTGCAGTAAATACAGTTTTAAATCAGCTTCATAGAAAAGTAAAGATGGTATATTAACAACTGAGTGTGTCTTGACAGGCCTTCCAATATTTTGCCACTGAGGTGTCAGGCATACTTTTTTAAAGCAGCTTCATAGAAATTATACACAAATCTTAAGGGGTTCATTAATTAGAATGGAGTGTCCACATATTTTTGGCCCTATACTGCAGTGTATGAACTGAACTGAGATACACCTGTAACAACAGCCATCAGCGAATGGAATGAACAGACAAGTCATGGATCAGTGTGAGGATGTGTTGTGACAGTTTGAGAGGTGTAAAGTGATCAGTACCTCTGGTGTGGCAGCACGGGACGCTCGGTTGCACTCACTGTCACTGGAACTGCTGTCGCTGTCCGAGTCGGATTCAGAGCTGCTCTCCGATTCACTGGAACTGCCCGAGGCGCCACTGGAGTGACCGGTCGGTTCGCTGGTCCGCTGGGTGGTTCCAGGGAGGCTTTAGGCAAAAGAACAGAGGAGAATATTTGTCAAATGATATGACACACTTCAAAACACACAAATGTGCCATTGACAGCACAGATGTAGGTACAGGTTGTTTTATTAATGCACATTGGATTTTATTTAACAGCAGGAGAAACTGGGCCAATGCATTCATCAGCTGAACCTTTGACACGTTGTATCAGACAGAGCTGTAAGGCACGGAAGCCCGTTTCTGCCACAGTATAAAAAAAAGGTAAAAAAATAAAAATAAAAAAGGTAATTGTGACTTTACATCTCACAATTCTGAGTTTATATCTCGCAGTTCTGCCTTTTTTCAGAGTTTACATCCACCAAGTTTAAGTTTGTATCTCACAATTCTGACTTTTTTACCCTCTGAAAACAGTTTACATTTTGCAGTTTATATCTTGCAATTCTGTTTATTTTTTTACCAAAGAAATAAAAATAAAAAAGGTAATTGTTGACTTTTTGCACAGTTCTTGACTTTTTTCTTGCAATTGCTTTTATTGAGTTTATCTCTCACAATTTTGACTTTTCTTCTCAGAATTGCAAATTTATATCTCACAATTCTGAGTTTATATCTTGCATTTCTGCCTTTTTTCTCAGAATTGTCACATAATATATACTCAGAATTGTGAGAAAATTAGTTAGAATTGTGAGATAAAAAACTTGTTTTTTTTTAAATTCCGTAGTGAAAACAAGTTTTCATAGTATAGAACCTGCCTAATACCATTAAAAAATAAATATTTCATGCTCAAAATTTAAATTCTATCATCATTTACTTACCCTCATGTTGTTTTATTATTTTTTCCCCATGACAGCTATTACATTATAGTTCAAGTCTTTAAAATATCAGACACTACAATTAATTTTTTATGTTAAATATTACTTCAATAGCCTTGATATTTCTTTCATCTAATCATTTAAAACACACACACACACACACATTGGTTGTTCATGAATGATTTATTTATTTTGTGCCTGTCATGTGACAATCGAACGACAGACTTGGGATATTTCAAACGTAATAAACACTTTTCTATCACTTCCGCCAACTGTCATACATGGAAGCCGTGCCGGCGGATGACGTAGCACGTCAGCGTTGCGTGATTAGTGACGAATGCGGAGAGACAACAAAACAAAACGCCGGTCACTAATTAGAAGTACAAACTGAAGATTTGCAAAGAAAAATTTCGGAGGATTTCAATATAAACCAAGAGGAGACTCGTTTTCCTTTGCTAAAGTAAGGAAACTTTGCTTCCTTTGCTCCTGTAAACAAACTCGCGAGACT